TTTTTTTTTTTTTGTGGGAGTTAAAAATTGGGCATATGCAGGCTATCATCGTTTCTTGTTGTGGCTGCTTCCATGGTCGTACATTGGCTGTCATCTCTATGAGCTGTGACAATGAGGCTACTCGAGGATTTGGGCCATTGCTGCCTGGTCATGTTAAAGTAGATTTTGGTGATGATGTTGCCCTTGAGAAGATCTTTAAAGGTTTGAATACTCCAGATTTTTATTTAAGTTTATGTTTTACAAGATGCTTAAGAGGCCTCATTACTTCTGGAGGATTACATGCTTCACCCCCTCTCACTAATCTATCTTTGATGTTCTGAAATATGCAGATGACAGTTTCTTCTTAAAACAAAAAAGCTAGATGTGAGAGTATCTTTTATTCTTAACACATTCCTTATTCCTTTTATATGTGCAGAACATGGACACAGGATAGCAGGATTTCTATTTGAACCTATTCAAGGAGAGGCTGGTGTAAGTTTAGAATCAAATGTTTTGTGGTTGGGACTGTGAAGTATTTTGAATGGGCTTGAGTGTTTTTTCCAGGTTTTGCTGTATTTGGTTTAGCAGATCTGGGAACTTTTAGTGAGCCAGGAGTCTATTCATCTTTTCCTTGATTGATGATATATATATGGTGCTTTTGGTCTTGCTAACTTTAACTGGCAACTTATGAGAGTTTTAACTCTGTTTTTTTACCCACTTCATTATAGTTAGGAGCCAAACTATCTCATACAGTTGCATGATTAGTTCGTTGCGAGTTGATTTAAGGAAGGACGATTTGAACTTGGGACCTCTTTCATGGAGAGTTCTCTCTACCATTAGGTTTTTCATTGATACATATAGTCATTTAACAAGTTTAGAATTTTCGCCAAGTGTCCAATTTACTAATTTATTAAGTCCTTTTTGAAATAGAATTTTACGTAATGTACTGATTTATAACCCAATCTTCAATTAATTCAGAGACCACAGAGATTTTCAAAAGAAAAAAAAAATAGCTTCCTTTCCTTTTTCATGATAGGTGGTGGGAGAACCATTGCTTCAAATAAAGCCCTGTCGGTAGTTATTACCTTCATCCCTTCATTCTTTTCACAATATTGTTCTCTTCTTTCTCCCCCTTTTCATTGATAGGTTATAACACCTCCAGAAGGGTATCTAAAAGCTGTCAGAGATCTTTGCTCGAAATATAACATTCTAATGATTGCTGATGAGATACAAAGTGGCCTAGCACGGACAGGAAAAATGTTGGCTTGTGATTGGGAAGAAGTTCGCCCAGATGTTGTAGTAAGGCCATATTTAACTCTTACTTTTGATGAAATTCTGGTAGTATTTTATTTGAATATAACAGTATTTGGTTCCTATCGTTTAAATAATTTTTGATTGTTGGGTCCACAACCTTTTGCCGTTTGAGTTCTGCAGATATTCTAGTAAAGCTGCCATCAATCAGCACATCAAGCATATCTAGTCCTTTTTGTCATTTTAATAAGAAAAAAGTAAATAAATATTGAAATTTGTAGAAGGTTGAGTGGCAACTGAATAATGAAATTCTGATTGAAAGTTTTGATCTGAAAATCAAATATATGCATATACTTTTGTGTATATTGTTCTAGGAGTTGCAGTAATTTGCTGCAATGTGAGTCAGGATGGTTGTACACCTCAAACACATTTCATTGAACTCACTCAGTCTCTCCCTCTCAGTTTTACTTTTCCAAACACAGATGCACATACTTGATATGCATAAATTGTTTCTCAAATAGATTTCTCTAATTTAACAATTACAACATTGCCTCGGTAATATGCAGATTGTGAAAATTTAATACATAATTCATAATTCCCTTGATTAAACTGGACAGGTGATTGAGAACATGGAAATTTTCTGTGTCTTCCTTACATTGTTTATAGTTGTTAAAACTAGTTGAAATTTCTTTCCCTTTCTTTAGGATTGCATCAGTGTCTTACTCTGAAGATCAGTATAGATGTATTTTCTGCACATTTATGAATTGATTGTTTTATGTAGCTAATTCTTCTCTTCCCTTGTATTAGATTTTGGCATTTCAAATAGAAATCTTTTAAGTTTGATTAGAATGGTGAGATTACTACTGAAACTTGCAAGTTGAATGATAACAATCTGTCGTGGAATTGCTTATATTGCCGCTACTGTTACGACTAAAGTGAAGTATTGAATATGCTTTATTTCATGTTTAATTTTTATTTCTACCTGCCTTTCTTGTTAAACAATGTAGATGTTATAGTAATCAACTCCAGAGTTTTATAAACTTCTCTAGTATGCTTCTGAACAATTAATACTGGTTGACTTATTCAGATACTAGGAAAAGCTTTGGGTGGTGGGGTAATACCCGTAAGTGCAGTGCTTGCTGACAAAGATGTAATGCTTTGCATTCGACCTGGAGAACATGGAAGGTTTGTAGTTATCCCTAGTAATCCTCACTTAATGGTCTCACTTTCATCATCAAACAGCATATCTTCAAAAAGGTTTGGTGGTTTTTCTGTCATGATATGTGTTACTGTGAGTCTGCAAAAGCTCTTAATTTTCCATTTTAATTCTGTCTTCAATGCCAAAAGTTTCTTTTGGATCCCTCTGCTAATTGTGATACAATTGTTTTGTTCTGCAAAGGCTCACTGCACTCTTATTGTTGTTTGTTTTCAGCACCTTTGGGGGAAATCCCTTGGCCAGTGCAGTGGCCATTGCCTCACTAGATGTAATCCAGGAGGAGAAACTTGCTGAGAGGTATTGAATTATTCCTGCCCAGTGTTGTATTATCAAGATTAAATATGAGGAAGAAAATTTTGAAAATCATGCTGTTTCTTTGGAAAATATTTGATCTTTTGCAGTTTAGTATAAATAAAAATTTAGGCAAGATCAAAATGTAGAGAGAATTCCACAGCTAAAACAACTAAAACCCAACAGGCAAAGAAGGATTGAATCTCATGTGACATTTAAATCTTAACATTCTGAATAACAGGAATTAATTTAGCAGCATCAGTAACCAAGATGTGTCTTGTCAATATCATAATCTGACAGAAGACACTGTGATGATCCTTTGCAGATTAAATTTCTCTTATCTTTGTCAATTTCCAAAAAGAATCAATATCTCAAGAATTTATGAAGATCGCATAAGTCAATTAAAATTGAATTTCACTAATGGAAATGGAATTTCAACAATAAATTTGCTTCAAGTATAACCTGACTTGCTTTGCTATACATAGCTGCTGTTCATCTATTTCTTCCTCTCCTCCCTCCCCCTGTCCTTTTTCTGCCTGCAGATGTATGGATTTTGTTACTTTTGTGTATACTGTTTGCAGATCTGCCCATTTAGGACAAGAACTTTTGCATCAGTTGCTTAAGATTCAGGAGCAATTTCCAAACTACATTAAGGAAGTTCGGGGAAGGGGTTTATTCACTGCTGTAGAGTTCAACAGCAGGACTTTGTTCCCTGTTTCGGCATATGATATCTGTCTAAAGATGAAAGAAAGAGGAGTTCTTGCCAAGCCCACACATGATACGATTGTACGGTTGACTCCTCCACTTTGCGTGAGGTAAGGAGGAATGCTTGTTGAGCGCCTGATATTTTTAGTGAAATAACAGGATCAAGTATTTTTGACTACCTCTGATGTAATGCTTTTCTGGTTACTTACATTGGTTTGAGACGTAATCATTCTCTTAACCTATAGTTTATCTGTTACCAACTTGTTGATAAACAATACCTTTTAAGAGCCCTTAATCAGCATTTAATGTTGTCTAATTTTTTTTGTGTAATAATTTATGACCTAAACCTGTATTCTCAGTTCGGATGAGCTCCAAGAAGGATCAAAGGTGCTGCGAGATGTTCTGGAACTTGATTTACCAAATTTGCAGAAGACCAAGCCAAAAGATTCTCCAACTACAGCTACTATTTGTGATCGTTGTGGGCGAAACTTGTACGATTCTTCAGATAAAGATCTCTGAATTATATGTTAAATGCGGGTTTCTATATGCTACATCCTTGGATATGGATTCCCAATTCTCCTGTGCCCCATTTTTCTTGAAATAAATTAAAGACGTTGAGGTCATTCATCTTAGTCTGGATAATGATGAATGATTTATCTTTTACTGCTTAGCAACAACACAATGAAAATTATATGCTATCTGATATCAGCAATATCTCTTGTTAAATGACTTAAACACAAAAATAAAAAGTTTTTTTTTAATACTCAAAAATGTGTACAGCTCTTTAATATATGGATGAAAAACTATATCTTTAAGGCTTATGTGCAAGCAGAACGTATTACGCCGTGACACTTCTACTTATTTTATGTGCTATATATGTTACTTTAGAAAATATGCATAGTAAGAACCGTATTTAGGATGAGAGTGAGAATCTAATTTTGGTGCTGGTGTAATTAGCTGGAGTCAGGGGCTTTCATTTTCAGAGCCTGGACCAGAACCGATGCTCAGCTGCCATTGTTGGTATTCATCTGTTTATGTAAGATCTTGGCACTGTTTGATCAAATAGCATTTCTATGTTTGCCGACATCTCTAGTTGTTTGATTTCTGTTTCTCTAGCAGCTTTGTGTATTAAGAACTTGGTTAGTTGATCAAGACCAGTAGCTAGCCACCTGATAATGCGATCTAATACTGGCCCTGGAGAAGTTGTAGCCCCAAGAATTTGCTTTTCTGTGGGTCTCCTATTAAATCAGCATCGCTGCAATGTTTTACTACAACTGTCTGTGTGTGTATGTGTACGCGTGCGTCCGTTAAGCGTTTATCATTTACCTATGCAAAAATATGTTTCTTCTTTGTTTAGGGAGACATGAGGGAGACAAATGATTGCAAAATCCTTGGTTGTTATGTAATTATAAAACAAAAGACAGCATTTTCTATATAGTGTTTTGTACTCTACATTGTTGTATCAACCCTACTGGAACCTTGAAAACTCAGCATATTGTAGCTCAACATTGTTTACACATTATTTTTTAAACAATCTTAGCTGGACTTCCATCATCGTTTTGTGAACACTGCAACACTTGTTGAATAAGTCTTCGCTGTTTTCTGGCCGAAGAACTAGTTGCTCTGCTTTTAATCATAATCATCAGATTAATATGTCTTCAACAAGAAGCTGATTGGCCCTATTGCCGGTTTATACTAGAACTTCAATAACTCTATGATTATATTATAAAATACTTTGCTTATATTCTTTAAAGTTGTAAGATAGATGGGTCCTGGATTATTATCTTTTGTGAGTAAATCTTCACAAATAAGGACGGAGAATCTTAGATTGGTCTGATTGTCAAAACCAAAAAGGGATCTGACTGATATGCAGGCTCCATAACCTTTCCTTTTTGGAGCTATTTCCCATTAACAGTTTTGCTGAAGTTACTAAAGAGAAGAATAGCCTTAATTCACTTCCATGTAGAGATCATTTAAGAGTGCTTCACTTGTATGGGTAACTCTGTTTGCCCACAATCTGTTACTATGTCATAAGTTGATTTAAACCTAAAAAATGATCTCAAGTGACTTGAATCCTGTGATTCCCTCAATTGCTTAATTACAACCTCTTTTGCTTCTTGTTTAAGTGGATAATTTGTTTGTTTGTAGGCATGGATGTTGGAGGGTTTGCCTAGTGAAATGGGCCATTCCATCTTGCTCGTCATGATTTAGTTTGGGTATATCCACTCATTTTCGGCGCGTGCAAATGTACATAGCAGACTGCCTTGCACTTGTCACCATTAATAGGGAATTTAACGGGTTGTTCCCACACTTCCAGGTAGGTGAGTGTCAATGATTTCTCTAGATGCTGCTCTCGTGTGTGGGAGTGGCTTTGCCTTGGAAGCAAGTTGCGGCGTGCTCTCCTATGCTTCTTTTCTTTCTCCATCATTTAATCTATAGTGGTCGTGTGGGGAGAATCTAATATTCAAAGGCATGTTCAAACCAAGAACAAATATGTTCACTTCAACTGTGCATTTGCTTTGAATGGCTGAAAAGCAGAAACCCTTTTGAATTTCCATTACAAAAGAGCAAGAATATAGATTCAAGTATACCTTACAAGCATCTTTTTAGGTCTTTTGTTTTGGTAGCCAACAGTCTTCTGCATGACAAAATATGTGCCGTAACCATAGGCCCGTAAAAACTTTTGGACCTCTTTTCCTTCTGATAAAATTGTTAGTGACAGGAAAATATTCAATTCAGCTACCAGACAACGACAGAAATGAATGTGGGAACATGATGTGAGAAAATGAATTACCCATGCCTCATTATTTCACCTGATCTTGTAGGCATGAGGGGACTGACTTCTGTGATCATGAATGAGTGGGGACTCGTTTAGCAGTGAAGCTTCCTGAAAAGAGCTACCTTAAAAGATCTTGGTAGTGAATCATGAAAAGCAAGAATTGAGAAATGAATCCTCCTCAAAACTCACTCAGAAAGATTGCTCTCAGAGAATATTCAGATCTTTCAGGTTATCATGGATTAGGACTTTAAATCAAGAAGCTCTATTTTTACCATTGGCTTACACAAGAATTTGCCAAATATACTGCAGCATGGAGTCGGTGATGGGGTTGACACCAATATTTGCACCATTTTCAGAAATTGCGGCTTTGGTGCACCAGGGAAAGATCAAAGATATTGCTTGACATCCTAGAACTTTTCAGAATCTTTGTTCGTTATCAATTATCATCAGTCAAAGTTGTAATTTCCCTGCTGATACATTAAGCAGCAAGCTCTAGTTTGAGTCTATCCATGTCTCATTGCAGTCAAACGTAGAGAATTTCTGGTAGTTGGACCTATATGATCATTTCATCTCATTTTCTTATCCAAGCTATCCCATCCCAACCTCCTCTTTCTCCTCCTTTTCTTTTGTTCACCGCCAACTTGGAAACTTGAGAAACATGCAAATGAACAGAGAAAACCCAACCGATATGCTTGCACTACACAATTTCACAGCAATGATGCTATTTATCAGAATCGAGTAGCAGGTTGCCTTTACCAAACGCCAGAGTTATCAAGAGGTCTGGCAGGGGAGATTCTGATCCACCCACACGATAATTGTCACTGTATCTAAAATCTCAAGCATTCTATAATCAATGTTTTCAGGAAGATAATTGAATTACTCGATAAGAGAGATAATCTTCTTCCATCTCATATTCTCCACGGCAGCCCATCTGGAGGTAAACATTCGTTTGTTCATTAACTAAGTTTTAATAAAAAATTACAGAGAGATTTACCCTTCATATAAACTTTTTCAGAATTCAATTCAAGAAAATCCAAATTAATTGAAATAAAATATGAGATCAGATTGCCCACCCAATACTGGGCCCTGGAATTACCTTGAGCTGTTACATCATATAACGGCTGGAGAATTAGGGAGGACCACTGACCAGCATTACCCTACTTAATGCATTCCGTAGTTTTATAATCAATCATTTAATAATCTCTACTTATTTTCTGCCTTCAAATCAACATTGCTAAGTCGATGGCAATTCTTCAAGCAACCAAAAGCTAATGTAATAATTACAATACACGTTTCTGAGGAGGCCACTAAAACAAAAGCCTTATCAGAAACAATATTGTTATGAACTTCATTTGGTCCATCACAATCCTTGGGTTGGGCCCTTCTAAATCTTAAAAACGAGGGAGTGGAAGGGAGGACCACTCTTTTTAAGTGTCTCTTCCTAGTCGCAACGGGTCAACTTGTTTTTCCCATAACGCCCTTTAATTCTCCTGGACGCTGCTACTTCCCCTGTAAATGGAACTGTACTCAAAGCACCAATCTCTTGAGATCAAGTTTGCAAGTTGGAATATTCATGAAATCTGCTTCTGCTGTTGGGATCCAAGAAATGCAAAATCAGATATAAGACCAATATTCCTAAACACAATTTCCATTAGGAAAAGATTATTATTCTTCCAAATTTAGGGTTTTGCCTATTAAATTATAATCTCCTAAGAGACGATCCATATGTGATTATAATAATATTAATTTCATCTTTGATGTTCCTGTCATTTCTTTGGATGTAGATTTGGCTCCAAGTGAAGTATTACATCGTCTTGGCATTGTCACATCATTATTGATTAAATTGTGGCCATGAGTAATAGGAAATGCACAATGTAACATCTTTTACCTAATAATTTATCATGGTCATATATGGAGGAGAATTATGCTTAGTGGGTGCCACATTTATTTATCAAATTTAAGATACTCATCATGTTGTCACAAAAACAAGGGGTGAGCAAATCATAACAAATTCTTAACCAAAGGTCCCCTACGGAGGCTAAGGTCACTATACATTCCAAAAAGACGGGGACCCATTGAAACATGATGAGTACTTAAAAGTCAGATTAAGGAGCAATCAAATGGGAATAGGGCACAAGTTATCATTTCCACAATTTGATGCCAAACACAAAGCTTATAATTGGGTGCTTGTTTTATTTATTTATTTATTTATTTCTCCATGCTATAGCAAAGTTTGTTCCCCCCTGGACTTGCTTTTGATATGATTATCACATCTTTTATTGCTCAACTGTTTTTTCTCATGAATTAAATTCCTTCCCCCTAACCCTCTTTGTTTGCATTAATGCTCTCTATAATCTCTCAATATCTCTCAATCTGAGAGGACTCATCAGACGACTCAAGTGGGAGGGTTTTGAACCTTTTGGCGGGGTTTTAAAGAAGAACTTTGTCTCCCTGTGGTTGGTTTTTCCATTTTTAATTTAGCAATGGCGCTGGTGTTAATATTTCCTTGCATGATATATATGTATGTATCATTAAATAAAATCCAAAAGCATCTGTCAACAAGCTCTTAGATTTTCATGCATGAAGCATGATGCATTTACATACAGAGAAGGGATATGTTTCCCAAGCCTAGATCACAGCAGCACATTGCTCCCAATTCTTTGATCTTTCACTCTAGCAATGCAATAACTAAAATTACCTAGAATAGCAAATGAATGTGATGTCACATGCTAGCAAAATAAATTTGTTTCAGATTAATCCTACTAATGAGTCCCAACATCCATTTGAAAACTTTTATTTTATATATAAGACACTTGCAAGCAAAATGACACCAATAGTTTTCTCTTTTCTTTTCCTTTTTTTTTTTTATGTAGGTGAGTGTGTGTGTGTGTGTGAATGATTAACTTCAACTAGAAAATAACTGGAAAAGAAAAAGGGAAAAGGGTTGTGTTTTAACCTAATTCTTGGTGATTCCTACTTTATTCATGTGTTGTAGCATTGTGAAGAGACTTCCTACAGAAAACTAGAGAACTATTTAAAGACAAAAAGCAATACCAAACCTAATCCTTCTGTCATGTTTTCCTTCATATTGCGGGAAAGATAATTTACATGCGCTTAGATTAAAGATAGGTTGCACAACCTCTACTTTTAGTTAACTAAAGCAACATTTATTAGAAAGATATACAAACAATTTCTCTTTTCTGGGGATCTAAATGGACACAGGAAACAGAGAAAGCATTGACCCAATTCGAAAGGGCAGTTAAATTGTACCCCAAAAAATGGAGTTGAATCGATCATGCTTTTCATTAGTTAACTAATGATGATGCTTTTAGCTAATCTACACATTGCAAAGATCGAGATGGGCACCACAGAAAGAGTAATCAGTGATTTAATTATCCACTTAAGCATCCTTAATCACACATTAGCCAATAACAAGAAATGAAGAAAGTAAATGAGATGTTACTTAACAACAGATTTATGCCAAGATCATGTTGTTGCTTAGCTTATATATACATGATAGAGATCATTAGAATTAAAACAAAGAAAGATCATATATAAAACTTGCGTTTTCTTTACACTTGGCTTTTGCTAACTTGGGTTATGTTTTTAGAATACATAAGTAGGAGCAAAAAAAGTTGGTAGATCTCCAAATTAAATTGAATTAATTAACTTGGTGACATGAACATTTTGATTGAGCAAGTTGGTATGAACTTAGCATATAAAATTGACTGCACATCTTTTACATTTGACTTTGCATGCGGCTATTTATTTTATTTAATTTTTTTTATGAATTGAGATCTTGTTGAGTATATGGACGTGATTGCATGCATTTCTTAGAAGTTAATAGACTTTAGAATATGATTAGCAAAATGTAATCCATGCACTTTGGATGTGATTAAATTAATGTTAGAGTATGTGAATTCACAAGCAAGTGCCCTGGTTAAGGACACTAATTGTTCTTATTAAATTATTTTCTTCAATGAAAAGGTGTTTGAATCTAATTTTTTAAGAATATGTGTACATACATGCTAAGATATATTTTCAACATGTGACAAGTCTAGAATTCAAAAGGTATAATGCTCAAATAAGTCCTTAAATTATGTAAAAAAAAATTAAATAAATTTTTATTATTTTATGGTATTCAATCAAGTTTCTATAGTTTTATTTTAGGTTAAATAAGCATTTATGATTAATGATAGATTAATTATCATTAGTTAAAATATCATTTATAATTTTATATCCATATGATATTGACATAGCTTTAATGTAGAGAGTGAAAAATGCTACATGGTAATGTTATTATATTAAATTAACATGTTATGTCATCATTAATTATAATATATCAATATGTTACATTATTATTAATTATAGTGTTTTAACTTTTTATGTCAATACCATCTGATAAAAAATGATAAATAATATTTTAATTAAATCAATTATTAATTTTAAAAATTTATTTGACTTCAAAAAAATATATAAAAATGTATTTAAAATTTTTTTATATATTATGCTAATTCAAAATCATGATGGTTAATTAGCTCATAATCAACATTTTTAAGAAAGTGGAGACCTGCTCAACCTGAGAGTGACACTAGTCAATCTACAAGATAATCGCTGGAAAGAGGCAATTTTCACCCATAATTTACACTTTTATTGGTTTTTATGTTTTCTTTACAATAATTCTTTATTTTTCAATTTTCAGCACTTTAAATTTCAATTATCAACATCTTTTTTAGCAATCATCCTAATAATATATTTATTATTAAATCAAATACACGTAATAAATGTGAATTTTGATAAATCAGATTATATGTAACTCTACCTGTACGGAACGTCACGGTATTTCGTCCTCTGCTTAAAAAGTCACAAAAGGTCAAATCCCGAGCCCTAAGGTTTTATCATTGCATGCAAAACATGAACACATGTGCCACAACGTGTGGGTCTTTAATTAGTTATTTTTAATCAAGAGATCAGATCTAAAGTGGTAAACTAATGCACGATTGCACATGATATCCAAGCCTCCAGATCAGATTCACCACTTTGTTTTCCTTTTTAATTACTCTTGATCACAGCCAGATGGATTTTTCTTTTCATTTAAAGGGAGACAATTCAATAAATGAGAGCGAGGAATTTGATGCACTTAATTCTGGTTGCTGGAGCACAAAATGATTAAATCTCTTTATTGCATCAGTGATGTAACTCCAACTCATCAATCTCATTATCTAAGATATGTTTAATAAAAAAAACAGTAATTAAATACAAAATACATTAATTTAAATTTACTAATAACAGGTTGTACTATATGATTATGATTAGGAAACCCAAATCTCAATCCAACTCATCAAATTTTATACAAAAAGCTTAATATATATATATATATCATATTACATGGGTTCATCAATATATCATAATTATTTTTAATAATTAATTTGCCACCCAAATCATAGCTCAGATGCAAGGATATGCTGATCCCGAAATGATATATATTTTTATTTCTGTTCTTGATCCCGAAATGATATATATTTTTATTTCTGTTCTTCTTAAAATTGAATTTTAAATTTTAATTATTAAAATATCTCTTTGAAAGTAATTTTGAATATATGCTCAAACTTAATAAGGAATAGATATATTCTTTTTCTCTTTCAAGAATGGAACCCGATTCTACTCAAGCTTTGATCCCATTATCCCATCCTTAATCATAAAGCTAAATTGTTTTTCTTTGCTTTTGTCTGTACAATTTGTAAATTTTATGTCGTCTTCCTCCTCCGATTTTTGCCAAGTTCCTTAGCATGTATCGTCATTTTCTTGGTGCTACACTAAACACATTGTCTAGTTATTCCACAGATCAATGTTTCTAATCACTTTACTCTAAAAAAAAAAACTAAGTTTTGGACATTTCAAAGTAAAATTGTGTTGGGTACGTATCTGTTAAGGACGTCAACTAATCAACTTATTGTCGGGATTGGGAATATCACTAGGTTCACCTAAGCAATATATATACAAAATTAGACAATGCAATATATTGAAATATATATGTATATAATGATGTGAGGTTGCTAAGTCCAGTTGGCTGACAAGAATTTGACAGGGTTGATGGTTGGCTGCTGGTGCAGGTAGGTTTCAGGACCTGACCGCGGACGGATTCAAAATTCTACACCAACTAATTATATGCCGATGCAGCAGTTGCTTAACGTTGTTGTACTTCTTAAGAGTACTGTCCTCTTTTGTGTGCGTTGCTGCTGCTTTGGATCTGGGCATTTGATTTGAACGCACGCAAAACCCTTTATAAAATTACAAGGAAATTTTGGATGTAATAGGCTCGGCCTTGATGCAATAAAAAGTTGTTTTGGTGTTTTTCTCAAACTTGTTCTCCAACTCCCATTGTCAACGTAATTGAGCACTGTGAAGATGAACAAAGGGACCAGTTTGCAAATATTCAATTTATTGACCTCCCTTTTTTTTTTTTCAAATAAACATAGGGAGAGAACCGGTCTTTTATAAATAAACCAAGAGACTTTTCCCTGTTTGAATATTTAGCGGTCAGACTGGCAATGTGATTTATGGAATTCACATTAAAGGGAATAAGACTTTTCCCCTTTATACAAGAAAATGTATTGGCAATAGTCTTTCATTTATTGCCCACCAAATAAAATTCCCATTTTTTATGAACTTATCACCACCCACCAAAAGAGCATAATGAAAATAACTATATTATATAAAAAAAAGGGAGATGCATTTGAAGATTGAATTTCTTAGAATTTTGAATTTTATGTTCGGTTAGGCCCGTTTTAGTGCTTAAAATTGGGCTTTACATAGCACTTTTGTTTTTAAATTTTAGTATTTTAAAACAAGAGAAAAAAAGAAAAGGCCAAAAGAAGAGAATCGGGCCGGCCGGCCTAGGTAGCTACTACCCGTATCTTATTACCACTACTTTAATTACCTTTTAAGTCAACTTAACAAGTCCAATGTTACGATAGGGGAGTTTGGCATTAGATCCCCTCCACCTGTTTTTTTTTTTTTTATTAATCTATTATCACATTCCTTTTGCTTTGTCTCGTGAAAGCACAGTCACATAAACCACCCCCTAAATACTATGATCCCCTTCTCCTCAATAATGCGCTTGATTTTTGGTAAATTTCATTTTAAAAAATATTCCTTGATATAGTTGGAAATGTGACGTGAGAATAATTTTTTTTTTGGATTAGCAACATATATAGAAATTTGCTTTTACATAGTATTTATTTAAATAATTTAATAAAAAAGAGAAAGAACTCCATAAAGGTAAAAACTTTATTTTAAGATAAGGAATCGACTGTGATTTGTCCTGCAATTGAATAACAACAGGATTCTTCTCCATCCCCCGTCATGGTGATAGGGGAGGTGACCATATTTCATAAATGAACCCCTCCCCTTTCTTTCTTTTTAAAAAAAAAATAAAATCGAGTAGTTACTACTACTTACCACACTCCCCAATTTTCAATAGTCAGATACAAAGTACTTATCTGATTAAAAGATAAATTAATTGAACAGCATAATACCAAATTAATTAAATCTAAAAAACTTAAACCAAAAATTAAAGGAAGCAAAAGAGGCTTCAATTCAATTGTTCTTGTTCCTCTTTTGGCTTTGCCTTTTCTTGCCTCCCTCACTCTCTCCCTTTCTTATTCACACCTTTTTTATATTTCTTTTCCCCATCTCCCCCTTCGCATCCCCTCTCTCTCTGTAAAGACAAAACCGTGGATCTATCTCATCCACCACTCGCCTCCCCTCCCCTCCCTCCCCTCCTCCACCTACAAACAACGACATCACACCCTCACCTCCCTCCCCCTCTCCCTCACTCCGTCTCTTTCCCTTGCCTCTTCTCAATCAAATTTCTTCCCTATCGAAGCACCACTCTTTCCCTTCTTTTAAAGCCAGCTTTCCACGACTATCCCTTCCCCCTAGATCTACCCCCAACTAACCATTCCCCTCCCCTTTCCTCTCCCAAACGATAATTGGAGAATTCCCGTTAGACAGAAACTTAGCCCCAAAGAAAAAGAAAGGGGAAACAATGTCTTCCGTTCGTTCAGATCCGATCCATAGGATCCACCCGGAGCCAATCGATCACTTCGACCGTCTTCCGGACTCTCTTCTCCTTCTAGTCTTCAACAAGATCGGCGACGTTAAAGCTCTCGGCCCATGCTGCGTTGTCTCGCGCCGTTTCCACTCCCTCGTCCCGCAAGTCGAAAACGTCGTCGTACGTGTGGATTGCGTCATCTCCGACGACGATTGTTCCCCCTCTTCCTCCTCCTCCGACAAATCCCGTGCTGCCGGTCCCTTTTCCACCCTCTTCCGTTTCTTTTTCGGAGCATTGTCAAGCCCTTCAAGCTTTGGGCCAATTCCTCGGCCCAAAACGGCCCACCCTCAACGAAACTCTTAACACCCCTTCATCTTCTTCCTTATCCGTCGGTCCCGGTGGTGATGACGATGGGGAAATGGACCAAGGTGGGGTCACCCATCATTCCCCGACGCAAGTACTTAGAAATTTCAACGAGATTCGTTTTCTCCGAATCGAATTGCCCAGCGGTGAGCTAGGGATTGATGACGGAGTTCTGTTGAAATGGAGAGCCGATTTCGGATCAACTCTTGATAACTGCGTCATCCTTGGAGCTGCCTCCGTTATTAACAACGTGCATTTGCAAGTGTCAGAGTATGGGAACGATGGGTTTTGCATCAACAATAACATTACCAGCAGTTCAAATGTTGGCAACATCGATGATAATGGGAGTATTCCTGAGTCGTTTTATACTAACGGAGGCTTGAAATTAAGGGTTGTTTGGACGATTAGCTCGTTAATCGCAGCGTCAGCAAGGCACTATTTGCTTCAACCGATAATTGCGGATCATAAGACGCTGGATAGCTTGGTTTTAACCGATGCGGATGGACAAGGGGTGCTTTGTATGAATAGGGATCAGCTTGAGGAGTTGAGAGTGAAGCCATTATCAGCTTCTTCTGCTTCAAAAAGGACGCTGGTGCCTGCGTTGAACATGAGGCTGTGGTATGCTCCATATTTGGAATTGCCTGATGGGGTTGTTTTGAAAGGTGCTACTTTGGTTGCTATTAGGCCTAGTGAACAATCTGCTTCGAAAAAAGAGGTCTCAGATGCCTCTTGGTTATCAACTGCTTTTGAAGAGCCGTATGGGACTGCAGCTAAGATGCTAGTTAAGAGAAGGACTTATTGTTTGGAGATGAACTCGTTTTGATGGCCGCTTACTGATCTGTGAAGGTAAAAGTCTCAAATTCAGGATATACTGGGCTATGCTGATTAATTTCTTCGAAAATTGCTTTGACGTGTCAATTGTTTATGCTACTATGAAAATTGTTTTAATGCCTCGTATGAACTGATTCCATGTTTGGGTTATACTTAAGGGGCTAAGTTGTTTGCGTGTGTATGCTGTTAGTAGGCATTTACTCATTCATCATTAGACCTTTTTTAATTATATGGTTTTAAGCTATAAATATGCTCTTGTTGAGTTTTGGTAATGCGTATGTATGAGCTGAAATACCCTTTTCTTGATCATTTTAATTAGTATGATTTCTTAATGTGATTAGAGGGGAAAGTAAGCATAATTGTATTTGGTGGTGAATAGGGGTTTAGATGTCCATTTGCATTTGAGTTGTGAGAAATCTTTTGCTTGAAATAGGTGTGTAAGGATACATCAGGGATTGCATGTGGTACCCCAGCAATCACATGCCTGACATTTTCCTGCTGTTTTTAGTTTTGGATCTGCTTGCATTACCATTTTATTTATGCATCTCTTATGAATTTAAAGTTCATTTTGCACTTTTCAGGGAAAGCTGTCAAACACAATGGTCAAAGGGAAGAGGGGATAGCATGCTCTTGGAAAGCTGATGGTCAGACAACAATTTTGTTATGTGTTGGAGCTTAATCTCAGGGCAGTGTCCTATAAAAGCCAAACTCTGCTTTGGACCGCCGTTGAAAGCAGTCCATGCATGTTGATAATGCACTGCAAGAGTTTTGGCTTCTGTGCTTCAACTGATAGCCGAAAATGCATCTGCTGGTTTTTTTTTATTTCAGGCATATGCTTGTAAGAGTGCACATTTGCATCTAGATTGATGTTGTAAGAGCTTTGAGTTTGTAGTCTTTTACTTTTTATTTACAATCCCTCTATATGTGAATATTGTAGGTATGAAGATGTCAAGCTTATGTTCTATACTTATGAAGTCCATCAAGAAATGTAGTTTGCACTTAGCTTTTAATATGTCTTGATAAATTTGTTATACTCTTATCAAAGTTTCATGGATATTTTATAGTCTCATCTTTGCTGACTCTTTAGGGGGTTTAACTTTAACCAGATGTTGTGGATGTGTGGTAGTCTGGTATAGGCCGGAACTGTGATGTTGTTGCAAGGTTTATTATTGCATTATCTGTGATATAAAACTGGTGATGATGAAACAATGGGTGGACAACTGTTTTAGATGATGATAAGTTGTGGTATGATATAGTCAAACTGGTTTTGATGTTGTGTTTTTGTTTACTCCATTATGGCGATTGAAAAGTCATCGAAGTTGGAAAATAAGTGTATGAGAGATATATGATGTGCGCTTTGATCCAGTTCTGTTCATGGTTGTTTCAACGAAGTTCGCTATCAATAATTCTTGAAGCTTTAATTGCCAATATATCTTATTGCAGCGTGGAGTATGTGATTAAATGATCAGATAAAACCGCCAAGGTGGTACAACCTTTTTATCCTATTAGTCATTTCAAGTTCTATGCTTGCCCAAACTAATCCAGGAAGGAGGGTCAAGAGGATAATAGTTTCATCTGATCATGCTCAAGGCAGTTGTTGATTGACCATTATCGGGGATGCATCTAGATGTGCGTTTTCCCGAGGATAGCTGTTACTCGTTACTTTTAATGGAAATCGTTTAGTTATTTTTGCCCAAATCATCCTTGGTCAAACTCCAAGCAATTTATTAAATGGCCAGAACCCATCATCCGAGAAGGAGAAGGCCAGAACATAAATTCCTTCAAAACAGATTCTAGGTACCCTAAATGCTTCCATTCATTAGCACAATCAAAGTCATTTGTGTATAAAACACAGAGCAATCTGGTACAAAAACATAGGAGGAATTTGGGGGTCTCATTTGATTAGTTGAGAACCATTTCAAGCAGGAAAAGAGACAGCGTATCAGTTGAGAAAATATCATCTGGTAGTCGGCATTCACTAACCAACTCTGTTTTTCTTTTTGGGTTCCCACTTTCCACCCATCATATTTTTTATCATTAAGACCAGCATGAATATAGATTAGTTGAACAGTCGAATATTGTTAACAGTTCTAGAACTAGAAGCAACCAATAGTCTTCCACATTTTCCTTATCATACATGAGAGAGAAAGAGACTGATGAATATTATTTCATCTGTGGCAATAAAGATTGGGGGTGAGGTCAGTTGCCATTCACCACTTGCTTTAAAACTTGGATTGCCCATTCTTTTTATTTTTATAATTTTTTTTGTTCATTTAATTAGCTGGTTCTGCTTCTTCCTTTATCTGTTTAGCACATGACCTTTCTTCCCCTTGCATACTTAACAATCCACGTGAATGAACTCTGGACTCTTGCACTCAGCTACAAACTCACATCCCATCCCCCCTTTGACTTGGGCCTTCACATAAATATATTGTCTTTCTTCCTCATCCTACCCTTCCTTCCTGTTTTTTATACACATATATCTCTGCAGTTTTTTAATTTATGTTGGCAAAAGAACAAATACTAAATGGAAAGCAAAGCCTTAACAGAATTGATGAAGATGCGATAGTTGGCTTAATCTATATATGTGTATTCCCCAATTAATGGACAAAGGCCTGGAAGTGGGGAAAGTATCATATCAGAAACAGATATGGCAAATCAAGGCCCACATGCTCATGTTTAAGCCGGCAGTGGTTGTGATTTGTAAAGGAGGTAAAAGTGGTGGAAATCATCATAATTAATAATAAACAATTCTCACACGTATTGAAAATGCGCAAGTAATTTTATTTTATTCTGTAAAACAGTTGATAATTCATTCTATGATCAGTCCCTCCCTCACGCACCCCACTTTCTTTTCTGGAAACATATAATTATAAAGTGAGCTCCACTTTTAATCACTGCTTCTCACTAAATTAGAGGTGGGTTCTTATTATTATACAGTGTGCCTCCTAATTTTCACCTTTCTCTCAGTCACGATCCCCCCCTCCTCCCCTCCTTGTGACATGTCCCTTTTACATGCAAAAGTCACACTCCATGTGTACAAATCCTTCATCAAATGCTAAATAATGAGCTTTAGTCTCTACGATTCGTCTCGTTTTTCATTTGCAGATCTACAAAAGAAATTAAGAGCTAGAATGGCAGCTGGTGCTTTGGCTTTATTCTCTTTACTTTGTCACGTATAAAATAATTCTTTTTGCAAGCACTTTTGCTGGTTATGCAAAAGCAAGTTGCTTTAGCTCTTTCAAAAGCAAGAAAAGAAATACTACTTACCAAAGGCTTATCAGAAGGGAAAACAAAAAAAGAAAGAAAGTATGTTGTTGAATGGGAGCTGTTTCCCCTGAAAGGCTGTTGTCATATGCAATGAAATGGTAACATCGACAGTGTTCTTTGTCTCGAGGAGTCTTTTCTGGACAGGTCATGCTCGCTTCTTCAGCTTTTTGGGTAGTATTTCCTCATGTATTATTATAAGCACCAGCTAGCAGCTATCCTTGTCCAAAATGGGTACCAAAAATATCCACTCCAACTCAATGCACCCAAAGAAAAAATTTGAGGGGTAAATAGAGAAAAAGATTTGGAAACGGTGGAAGGAGAATTGAAAAGTGAAAATAACCCTGTTTTGTTTTGTTTTTTTGCTCTTTATTTCATTGTTTACCTCTAGGTCATAATTGTGAAGTTTCGTGTATCAAATGGAATTTATAACAATTTTTGTAATGACTGCTACTTGCTTTTATGGATTAAAGCAGATGTCACTTTCGTGAGCCAAGGATTAAAGGAATTAGTACTTGAAAGAGGCCCAGCTACTCGAGGAAGCTGTGGTCACTGCTCAGTGCTCACTGGGCTCACGTGAAATTCAATAACTGCAATGATGGCAGCTCCCAATTTCAATACAAGCTCATGTGAAATCCAGTCGACCATAATGAATTATGATATATTATGGAGCTTAAACATTCAGAACTGCTATCAGATGGACATACATATTGCATTAATTTAGCGGCTACGGAAGCTGTTTCACAGCCAGGGTGAGGGATGGATGGACAGGTGGGTTGTCTGTCAAATACGAGTATACGACAAATTTATGAAACGTCTAATTGTCATATATGAATATTTAATTCAATGATAAACACATGTATTTTCTATTCAAAACTTCAAAGTCCATACCGTGCGCGTCAAATTCCTTACTTAAAAGAAAATCTAATTGTCTAAAAGAGCAACATAGAGAATGGGCTTGCGATTCAATATGAAGACCCTATGTTTGGGCTCGGGCATTAGCCTGGAAACATGGCTGCTCTCCAGCACCAACACTCTAGAGGTCAACATAAGCTTTATGTAAAACATATGCCTAAGATCTCGTCTTTGGCAACAATTGCGTTGCTTCCAAAGGGAAAAGTCATTCTTGGTAATTGGTATTTCTCTACAAGCAAGGAAAAAAGCTTGTACTTGATCTTAATAACTGCATGTCAAATCTATCAACAGAAGCACAAATAACCCTTCTTTTATATGTACATAAAATCACCAAAATAGTTGTAAATGTCTTCAGGCATGTGTCCAAATGGGAGCTGCCATTTTGTGGCTAGCTACCGCAAGAGAAATGAGGTTTTAATGTTTTGAAGAAACAAATGTGAAGGAAGAAGGGTTTGTGGCTGCTGACAGATTTCATTGACAAGGCCACTTTTCTCAACGAATATATAGACAATTTCATCAGAATAATTGTAAGATAAAGGGAAAAAAAAAGAATTAACTTCAATCGAATTGTTTTTTGTTATACTTGTTGGAAACACACAATGCTTTTTGCACGCATAGATAAATATATCCCAATACGCCAATGCCAGCGGAATGACTTCAAAATGGATAAACCAGAAACACTAACAATTTCAGAAGCACAATAACAAAGGTATCACCCAATGCAAGGAAGGAATGCTTTCACTCACAGCTTGCCACTGCTTCCTCCATCTTTGCTTTTCCTGCATCCAAAAATTTTGCACCAAAAGTTAGCATACATGATAGAAATAGGGAAGAGAAAGGAACTGAGAGGTGGTTGTGACACTGGTTTCATTATCAGAAACTGGGGCTACTTGGCAAGGCGCAATCTTTGCACTGGAACTGTGAAAATAAACAAGCATGATGTTCAATAAATTGGGAGTTTACATTCGCTGCTCTCTGCTCAACACCAAGCTTAATGCTTTGGCCATTTTATGATGTGAAGTGGAATCATAAGCTGAAATAAGATAGCTACATTTTGGATAGGTTAAACAGAAATTCATGAAATTTTGATACGATTACTTTTCAACCAGTATTCCCTCTAAATAAACTACACTGAAATCAACATAGATTTCTATACATTCCTCCTTATCACAATCTTGCATTTATGCAGGTAAGCAGTTTGCCTATGTAAAGCATTTACAACTGCATTCAAAAAGGTCAGCTAAGCTAAGTGTGCATGAGAAAGACAGAGTGAAGTCGATATGTTACTGGCAGTGTTCGTTCAATGGTGCCATGTCCATTCTATATCGTCAGGTAGCCATTGTACGAGTTAAGTTTCCTTCCTCCCCAACAAACAAAGATAAGTTTCCGTCTCACAACCTTCAACCACTTCTAGTTTCACTATGACCTCCTTCCATAGTTAATAGTCAATTGAGGGACTAATTGCAGCAAAACCTCGGAGTTTGTAAACGATCTTGTGAAGGAAAGCACAAACAGGTGAATAAATAAATAAAATCTTAGTATAAGCATAGGAACATGTACTGAAATTCCATTTCATTAATTGTCTTGTGGACTTATCACACCTTGAATCCACATTGAAGTAAGGAGAAAATGAATAGAATAGTGTCACCAATCATTGTATAAACCTAGCTATTGGATCAGCAGAAAGGAAAAAGGAAAGCATAGACTTTGCCTAATTCTTTCATCCCAAATATTTCACATCAAACTAAAAGGGGCTGCTTTTTATTCCATTCCTCCAAGCCAAACACACACCAGCATCTAAGAAAAATTAGATATGATCTTGGGAAAACCAAGTTCACACTAAATAGGTGAAAGTTGAAATACTATACAAGTCCCCATTTCCCTAGA